GAGAGAGAGAGAGAGAGAGAGAGAGAGAGAGAGAGAGAGAGAGAGAGAGAGAGAGAGAGAGAGAGAGAGAGAGAGAGAGTTCAAACAAGACCACATCAGAGTTACAGCACACGAACACACGGCTGTCATAACCGAGAAACAAGGCAGTCGTGACGCGGGTAAAAGGAAAAAAAATAATGATGACATCACACTCCGTTAGCAGCGCCACGAACTCTTGTGCAGAGCCGCTGGAGAATTCAATTTCACAAGGGGTTGCCGAAATTCACATGGCCCAGGGGCACTCACATAATTTCAATTTCAATTTCAATTTCAATTTCAAATTTCAATTTTAGTTTCAGTTTCAAAGTTCATTTGGAAACAAAAGCAGAAGGGCGACGCTGGAAATCAGTCTGATTTTCCAGATCTACATTAAATTTTGCACACTGTATCCTCCACGAGAGTAAAGCCTCATGTAATGTGCATTTCTTTATTTGTGTTTTTTTTTTTTTTTTAAATCGTTCACATGATCGCATAGGAATTTGCTGTTCTTTTTTTCTGTTTTTTTTTTTTTTTTGGAAAACTTTGTAAAAAAATCCAAATCACAACAGTTCGCACGACCTCAGATAGGCAGCAGTGGTTAAAAGAAAAAACACATGCTGAAGGGAAAAGTGGCAGTTTTCCCTAAGTCCTAAAGATTCGGAGGTCGGGGGCCGCGCGAGTGTGCGCAGCGGCGGTGGCGGCGCCCGGTCGTTGTTAGTCGTGGCGATGTAGGTGTGGCGTGTGAGCTTCGGGTTCTATCCTCCCTGAGTGGCACCTACCCTGCCAGGCACCATAGCTGTGTGAGGGCTATGGCGACAGTGCCCTGGCGTAGCCTAGCCCTTGAGTGGGTAGGGAGTGCCTTTGCACTCTTACGCCATGGCATCCTGGCAGCCCCTCATTCGACTCTCATACCAACCTACACACCTACAAGACCTTGATATCGGAGGAGCCGCCTTCCCCTCAAGCCTTCTGCTGGAAAGGGGGGCCTCCTTTTTCAACATCTAAAGAGCGCGCACTCGGGCACACTGAAGGGCTGCAGCAAGTCTCGATTGATCATCTTGGTCGCAAGGCAGTACGCTGTTCATTTGTTTCAGGTTTGGGGTTTCGTTCGATCGGGTTTGCCATAGGTCACCTAAGCCTTGAGTGGTACGGGGAGTGTTCCACGCTCGACCCACGGCTATCCTGGAATTCTGCGTATAATTTATCATGTATATTTTTACGGCAGTTTTCGGGAAATTAATATGATGAAGACATGAGTTCCTTTCTGGGCCCCGAAGCGTTATGGAGTTTAGAGTTGCCTACGTAGTTGAATTTTGGAATTGTTTTTGTTGTTAGTGTTGTTCTCCTTATTTGATATCGTGTAGATCTGTCAAAGTTTGTTTGGGTGGTACATGTGCTATACGTGGCTGCTCTAAGCTCCGAACCCTATGGAATTTAGAGTAGTCTACATAACTGCTTTTTGAATTGTTTATGTGGTTTTTGAATAGCGTAGACCTTTCAAAGTTTGTTTGGGTTTGTCCATGTGGTAACCTCATGATAAAGATATGAGTTCTTTGCTGGATCTGTGAAGCTCCGAAGTCCTTTGGGGTGGCTGCACCATTAGTGAGCGTGGGAGACTTACTAGTGGCGGTGGGAACGTCGCCCGGAGAATTGGACCTTCTATACGTGGCTGCTCTAAGCTCCGAAGCCCTATGGAATTTAGAGTTGTCTACGTAGCTGATTTTGGACGGATTATGTTGTTTCCTGTTGTTGATGATTTTCTCAGTCTATTCTGCCGAGTTCTCTAAGCACAGGGAATAGTGTTGTAGGGTCACCCAAGCCTTGAGTGGTACGGGGAGTGTTCTGCGCTCGACCCTTGGTTATTTTGGGAATTCCTGCGAATAATTTACCACTGAAATTCCTACGGCAGTACCTGGGAAATTAATATGATGAAGATATGAGTTCTTTGTTGGGTTTGTGAAGCTCCGAAGCCCTTGGGGTGGCGGCATCATTAGTGGGCGTGGGAGACTTACTAGTGTGTTGGGAACGTCACCCGGGGAATTGGACCTTCTTTACGTGGCTGTTCTAAGTTCCAAACCCTATGGGATTTAGAGTTGTCTACGTAGCTGATTTTTGAACTGTTTAGGATGTTACTCTCGTTTTCTGTAAATTGTCTATCGCTTATTGTCTTTAGATATTAGTAATAAATTGAGTTCTAATTTTGGCTTTGGATAATTGTCGATATTTGGAGGGGATATTAGAATTGAATTGTATCCAAGAATCTAGTCGGTTTGGAATAATTGTAGGGTTATTTGTTAAATTTTCGTGAACTGCCTTGAGGCTTTTTAGAGATTTGCAGCCTACAGCCCGTGGTACGGAGCCATTAGTGTTTCGACTTTAGAAGCATGTCGGTGCTCTATGGCGTAGGTAGGACACTGGACCCAGTTTCCAGTAGCCTAAGCTGAGTTTTGGCCTCAGCAGCTGCGCACCGGGTTGATATGTAGGGGTGTGTTCCAGGGCCCCGGTGATCTCTTTGGAATGAAAAGTGTCATGTTTCTCCAAAAAAAAAAAAAAAAAAAAAAAAAAAAAAAAGATTCGGAGGTCGGGCCATTGAAAAAAAAAAAGAAAAGAGGAGATCTAAATTATCGATCGATAATTCGACACAATAATGTTAGCGGCCTTGCCACGATGGGGTCGTGGCACAAATCAATGGCGGGGCGTGGTGGAATTCGTGGTGCAATCAGACGAAAACAAAATGTCGATTGTACTCTTACGTACAAAAGCCGAAAGATACATTTCCTGAGGGCATACTCCCACCACAGTACGACATTTTCCCTTCAGCTTTGGACGTTATTGCGGTCAGATGCACCCACACCAGACCGTAACTAGAGTCAGATGCACCCACACCATACCGTAACTTCTTAAGTTCTGCACTTGAGCCCGCCTGTAGCGAAAAAAATAGAATATATTCTTCGGAGATTCTCCTTCGTTTTCACATCACCGCTCTCTCTCCTTTCGTCTTCCACTCTTTCTCCCCGCCATCGCCGGCGAAGCAGGTGCTGCTCGCGCTCTCGCGGTTGCCGCCGCCATCGCCACACCTTCCGCTCGCCGCCGCCATCGCTACACCTTCGGATCGCCGCCGCCATCGCTCCACCTTCGGCCACCTTGCTTCACCGCGCTTCGTTACATGCGACAATCAACAGCAAGAAAATGGCGCGCAAGTTTTTCGTCGGCGGCAATTGGAAGTGCAATGGCACCGTGGAGAGCGTTTCCAAGCTGGTGGATACATTGAATGCGGGCGCGATTGTGTCTACTGACATTGTGGAGGTGGTGGTTGCTCCTACCTTCATCCATATCCCGATGGTCAAGGATCGCCTTAGGAGCGAGATCCAGGTGTCTGCTCAGAACTGCTGGGTGAAGAAAGGCGGCGCGTACACCGGCGAGGTCAGCGCCGAGCAATTGGTCGATCTCGGCATTCCCTATGTGATCCTTGGGCACTCCGAGCGGCGGCATATATTGAAGGAGAGCCACGATTTCGTTGGGCAGAAATGCGCTTATGCTCTTAGTAAGGGGTTGAAAGTGATCGCGTGTATTGGAGAGACGCTGGACGAGAGAGAGGCTGGCAATACCATCAAGGTGTGTGCGGAGCAGTTGATTGCCATCAAGGAGGCCATTGGTCAGAACTGGAGCGAGGTGGTCGTGGCGTACGAGCCCGTGTGGGCGATCGGTACGGGGAAGGTAGCGACGCCAGAGCAGGCGGAGGAGGTGCACGCGGAGCTGAGGAAATGGCTGGCGGAGAACGTCAGCGCGGAAGTCGCGGAGGCCACGCGCATTCTGTACGGAGGATCTGTCACGGGGGGCAACTGCAAGGAGCTGGCCAAGAAGCCCAATGTCGATGGCTTCCTCGTCGGCGGCGCCGCGCTCAAGCCCGAGTTCATTGATATCATCAACTCCGCTCAGATCAAGGTGGCTGCCTAGATAGATAGATAGATAGATAGATAGATCGATAGATAGGTTGATTGATAGATAGATGAATGAATTCGTTTTGTGTGTGTGTGTGTGTGTGTGTGTGTGTGTGTGTGTGTGTGTGTGTGAGAGAGAGAGAGAGAGAGAGAGGAGGAGGAGGAGGAGGAGGAGGAGGAGGAGAGTAATGTTCGGTGGATTCGGTGGATCGAATTCGGAGTTGAT